GGGTTTGGTTAGGATTATATGGAGGTTAGTTTTTTATGGAGGAGGTGCAGGGAGTGGGGCGGAGCCTCCCCCCCCCCCGCGCATACACGTGTACTTTGTGCATGTAGTAAAATGTCTGTATATAATATACATACAATCGGAAAACTACAACCTAAATAATCAATTTCTTTTGTTCATAACTTTTTAATAAAGAGAGGCCACCTAAAACTTTACTCTAAAACTTTACTAAATGTTACTCAGGGACATGTCAACATATGTGAAGATCAAGATCATCGGCGAGGTCTTAATATGCATAATTACCAAAGTTGCTTTTCAATACTACTTTGCCATTAGAGTCAGTATATATCAAATCTTAAGATATAAGGAATAATTTTGATATCAGGAAAAATTAAAGAAGTAAGCTTTCATTTCCCAATTCTGCTGTCTGAGTTAATTATCAATTAGTTTGAGAAAGCCACTCTAAATCGTATGAAATCAGAATTAATACGTTCACTTCCAGCATTACATAAGTGTGACGCAACGATCTCTTATGAGAGACAAAATTATGTCATCTTGAAAAGCAATTATAATATTATATGTTATTGTATGTAACACACACAATACATTTCGTTTCCAGATACCGGTCGAGTTAGCTTCTAGGTTAAACTCCATAAACACGACAGAAGAATTTCTGCAACTGCTTCAAGATATTCCGGCGAACGAAAAGAAGCTCACATTCACTAGTAAGTACAATTTACTATCGTGCGTTTTAATAATGTATGTAATAATAATAATGTCAAAAGAAACCGATCGAAAAAGAAAATAGAAAGATCGATCCTTCTATCAAAAATCATCTAATCAAAATTTTTGATTAATATATTTCAATTTTATTAAAAAATGTTTAATAAAAATTTTGGTTTGTGTTTTAATTTGCATATAATTTTTCACAATTTTCTATGTAAAAATTTTGATTACTATGTTTTAAGTTATGTATAATTTTTCACAATTTTCTGTGCAAAAGCTTTTATTAGTGTTAAAATTTTTGTTAGCTTTAATTTACGATGAGGAGGATGAGCTTAACTCGCTTATTGTGAATTTCTGTTTTGTAAACACACTTATTATTGTACACTGAGGAAGAAAATAGTAGAATCTACGAGACTTCGTTTGTACGAACAAAATTTGCTTGAACAAATGTTGAGTTGATTGAACAAGTTATAAGGAGTATCTGATGATAAATCTCTCGTGCATGTAGGTGTAGATTAGGCCAAATTAAATAAAAAAATCTTCTACATTTTATAAACAATCACGTAAAATATGGTGTTACAGCAGATTGATGAGTAAATAATTACGGACAATTACAATTACAATATTGGCGAACAATTACGTAAAATTATTCACCAATCTTCTTTAATTAATAGCTAATTAGTTATAATCAAATAAGATGATAGGATATTGTTATTTAATACAAACACATAGTGCAAAAACAGATATTATTATGAGAAATTAATACTCTGAGCTATGTAAGCAATACTGTATGCATTTGATGCAGCTATCGTTGAAAAGGAGCTCGGTAAGCGCAATACCAATAAAGCTACTGCGGCTGCATGAGAATAAGATCAATATTTTTTATGTAAACAGAAACATTTATTAAGTCTTGATTACAAAGTGTATGTTGATTTTAAACGGTATATCGCTATCTTGTTATTTATTCCACAACGCGGTTATCAACGTGACGCGGAATTATCCTGAAAGTAAAGCCGTAATAAATACTTTAAAAAGATTATTATAGAATTTTGTGCCTTTATGCAAGAATTATATTACTCTTTAATTATATATGTCTTTGTCTTTTTCTCTTTTTAGTTGTGTGTGGAGGTTTGCTGTCTGTCTGCATAATTTCTCGAATAATGAATTTAATAGAAGTTAGCCTTTCACTCGATGACTTCTGTTGTTTGTATTGTTTTTATGCCTCGAAATACTTGTATATTTACTATTAAAGAGAATTTAAAATATAGTACAGGAACGCTCGCGCGCGCGACCTGGACATTTATAATAATAAATCTCTCACTTTGACTCGATAGCTGTGCTTGACTCTTAAAGACATAATTTGTATCATTTGGCTTCGTTAGACCTCTTGCTAATTTAAATTGTAAAATAATTACTGTATTACTGTAAGACCCGAGATCTCTTTAATCTACTTAAAAATTTGTTTAGGTAGAATCGGCGAGGGCGAAGAACGATCGAACGCGTTGAAGCCGCTGTCGGCTAAATGCATGCCCGAACTGCAAACTGTTTCTCTGAAACTAAATGATGATCCTGGAACCATCGTGTATCCGTCTTGTACGCGAATCAATAGATGCGGCGGCTGTTGCAGCAGCTCTCTGTTGTCTTGCCAACCAACGGCCTCGGAGACGCGAAATTTCGAGGTAATCGATTATGTTCGATTTCAGTTATGATCGTAATAGTCATGGTCATGACTACAATCATTCTAATTGCGCACAGTACCTATTACTAGCGATGCCGGTATAAGCCGAGTATTTTCATACCCAAAAACGAAAAAGTATTTTTTAATAGAATCATGCTTTTTTCACGTAAATATATTCCTTTCGTCAGTCTGCGTATAAGAATATTAAAGTAAAAACCGAGAAGTGAACATATTTTGCCAAACATTCATATTTTATTTTAACATATCCTGATATAAAAACTAAATATTTTATGAAGAATCTATTTTTTGTTGACTTAATCTTTATATTTTCATGTATAAAACGATTTGAAAAATAAATAAGAGAAAAATAAGAATAAATAACTGGATATTTGGGTGCATAGATACTCAAATATTCAAAAAACCCCGATAGCCGGATAACCAGAATTAACGCCATTAATTTGCATACATTCACACTAGGACACTGTTAACGATTTCTTACACGAAGCAGGATCCATCTCACATTGCCCTGTAAAAAAAATTTACAATTGCACGTTTCACATTGATTTCATATTTTTTATTTTCTTTTATTTTAATTTTAATTTTTTACAATTTTCCGTGCACAAAAATTTTGTGTGTTCAATTTTTGTTTTAGTGTGTTTCAATTTGTGTACAATTTTTTACAATTTTCTGCGTAAAAATTCTGGTTTGTTTTTTAATTTAGATTTAATCTTTCACAATTCTCTGTATAAAAATTTTGATTAGTATATTTTATTTTTCATAAAATTTTTCACAATTTTCTGCGTAAAAATTTTGGTTTGTGTTTTAATTTGCATATAATTTTTCACAATTCTCTATGTAAAATTTTTGATTAGTATGTTTTAAGTTGTGTACAATTTTTCACAATTTTCTATGTAAAAATTTATATTAATGTTTATTTTGTTAACTTTAATTTACGCACAGCTTTAGTAGAACATATTGAGTATTGCTATAACATATTTAAATCATACGTAAAATATAGCTCTATCAGAATGCGATCGCATGCATTTGACAGAAGTTATCGTGTCCGACAAGCACTGTGCGCAACTAACCACTCATCGATCTCGTAGGATTATGCGAGTATAAATGCGCGTACGTCGATTATAATAACACACATATTACACTCAAGAAGAAACATCAGCAAAATTTTCAACATTTCCCTTTCGCGTTATTTGTTGCTTCAAGGTGATCGTGACCACTCTGTCACTACACTACCGGTACCAGCAAATCGTGCCTCTAGAGGAACACACCGCGTGCAAGTGCGGCTGCAGAATCAAGGAGGAGGTAATTTGACAGCGACCGATAATTGGCGGGTAATCGGTGCCTTCCTGCTTAACCGAGCTCTACTCTGGTTCGCGAGTCTCACACCTCACGCATCGTCCCGTATCATTGTTTCTCACGCGAATGTAGTGTGATAGAAAGATTGACGTCAGCGTCGTCACAGCTCGACTGGTTGAAAAGAGCACGGAACTCTGTGAAACGAGAATGTTTTTATAGATAAAAATACGAGAAATCACCTCATTCCAAAGATGCACGCCCGCATGTGCATCTTTGTCTCCCTCGTTTTTAATGCTCTACACTGAAAAAAAAGACTTGGTTATCAAAATTAAAATTTGGTTAAAATAGAATTAATAAAATATTTGATAATAATTGCAATCAAAAAATGTATTTGCCGCTATTTTGCTTTGTTTAGTAACTAAATAAATATATTACCGAGGAAATAAAGCAAAACAGTGGCAATTAAATTTTGTTTTGTAATTACTAAATATTTAGTTAATCCCATTTTAAACAAATTTTGGTTTTATCAACTAAATCCTTTTTTCAGTGTATGTTACTATAAATCGGGTATCCGAATACACTGAGAAAAAATATTTTAAAATTTATTTGTGAGATACAAAGTTTATTTCTGTGAAATAAAGTATATTTCTGCGAAATAAAATTTATTTCTGTGAACTATAAATTTTTGTTGAATACACTGAGAAAAAATATAGTTGAAAATTTATTTGTGAGATACAAAGTTCAGTTCACAGAAATAAACTTTATATCCCACAAATAAATTTTTAAATAATTTTTTATCAGTATATCCAAGTAATACTCGAAGGTAATACTCACACTGACAAAAAAATACTTGAAAATTTATTTATGGGATATAAATTTATTTCATAGAAATAAACTTTGTGTCTTATAAATAAATTTTCTGATATTTTTTCTCAGTATAGGGATACCTAAGTTAATGGGTTGGCCAATAAGTCCGTGCGGTTTTTCTCGATAGATGGCCTCAAGGCACTCTGCTAAGCTTTATCTTCAGTTGAAAATCTTGAAAGCGTATAGTCATTGACAGATGACATTTCAACGTGCATTTAAAAAATATACGTAAAGATTGCTTGTGTATCTTATGTATTTTGCGTCATCTAAAAATGGATAACCAGAATGAGCATTTTCGGCATATTATGCTTTTTTATTTTAAAAAAGGCAAAAACGCAGCGCAAACCTGTAAAAAGATTTGTGCAATATATGGTGAGGATGCCGTGAAAGAACGCGTGTGCCAAAAGTGGTTTGCGAGATTTCGTTGCGGAGATTTTTCCGTCAAAGACAAACCACGCTTAGGCCGACCAAATGAAATCGACAGCAACAAATTGAAGGCGGTAATCGACACCAATCCACACTACACGACGCGGGAGATTGCAAACATTCTTCAAATATCGAAATCGAGCGTGGAAAACCATCTGCATCAACTTGGTTATGTTAGGTTAATAAAGAGACGTATTTAAGTTAATGTTCTAAGATATAGTTTACTTTGATATTTAAGTTTACTTCGGATGTGCCTGAAAGACACGAGTATTCTACTATTATTGCATTTTCTGTGTGAATTAGATATTTAAATAGACACGGATACCTTAGTAATTCACATATATGAGACACGGATTCCTGAAATACTCGAGATTGGCACTACTATCGTTTTTCGAATATGTCACGCAAAATTCACTTATGCTTCGATCGCATTGCGCCGTATCCGCGTGCCAATATTTTTTTCATTAATGATTCACTCGGACGTCACACTTTTTGCCGTAGCATTGCAACGAGAAGCAGCACTACGAACGGGACACGCAAAATTCATTTATGCTTCGATCGCATTGCGCCGTACCCACGTGTCAATATTTTTCTCATTGATGATTCACTCGGACGTCACACTTTTTGCCGTAGCATTGCAACGAGAAGCAGCACTACGAACGGGACACGCAAAATTCATTTATGCTTCGATCGCATTGCGCCGTACCCACGTGTCAATATTTTTCTCATTGATGATTCACTCGGACGTCACACTTTTTGCCGTAGCATTGCAACGAGAAGCAGCACTACGAACGGGACACGCAAAATTCATTTATGCTTCGATCGCATTGCGCCGTACCCACGTGTCAATATTTTTCTCATTGATGATTCACTCGGACGTCACACTTTTTGCCGTAGCATTGCAACGAGAAGCAGCACTACGAACAGAAAAACTGCATATGCGTGTGCGACAATGTGGACGAGGAAACGAAGTGCATACGGAACAATGAGACGAAAATGTGGGACCCAGACTTATGCGTTTGTTCGTGCAGGAGAACCACGCCGTGCAACACCGGCTACTACTTCGACCACAACACGTGCAGGTGTGAGGTGACAGAGTAGCGGGATCTACTAAGGAATAAGGCGCCTTCCTTCTCAATACATTCTACTATCTCACCACTTGTAAGCCATACGACACGCGTCCTTCATCGCACCAATTCGCTCTGTTCGCATCAACCAATTAATTTCCAGAGCCATTTGACAGCTTGGTTCCGCACGAAATCACAAGAGTCCCGCTTCCTTTCGCGCTTTCTGTACGCCAATCACTCGCGAATCAGCGAGATACCTTACCTTGTCACGCGCCTTTAACGTTCTTGCCACGTTTCTTCTCCTCTTTTTCACCTCGCTTCGGCTTCCTCGAGGTACTCGCACGCGAGCGAGGATTAATCTTGAATTTTTTCATCTTCTCGGTTTCACGCGCCCTTCGCCGGACAAGATGACGCGGAGAAACTTTGTTCGCGATTTATCGAAACTATATCTTCACCACCTGCTGAGTGCTCTCTAAAATACACACGCTTCACATATATGTGATATACTCGATTAATAATTACGGTATAATATCAAGATCCCTATCGCGACCTTAATTTTAAATGTCAAAAATGCACAGCAAAAAATTTTATGTAAACTTAACACATTTTACTTGTTCTAAACGATCCGTTCTAATTTTAGCCTTAATTTTATACAAGTATAGATGTATCAAATAATGACATAAATGTTAACAATGTTAACAATTAACACAAAATTAGTAACAACTTGATAATGTTTGGAAATAAATTTTATGTAAAATTAACATATTTATAATGTTATATATAGGGTGTTAGTTTTGCGAAAATTTTGCAATACATGACATTTATTAGATGAAACAGGATTAGCATTGTTGTATTAAGAAGAGCGTTCAAAATTAGATAGAGGAAAGCTGCATCAAGTAGATTCTGAGCAAGCAGCAAGAAAAGATTAGAAAATACCGTCATGGACAAAACAAAAGTATTTTATTATAGACCAAAAAAGTAAATTACCTGTGTGGAAAAAATGTCTCAAATTTTAGCGAAAAGTTACCTACATCAGACGATAATTTTCCGATGGTACAAACAAGAACTCAGTTTCAAAGAGTTTAGTCTCGAGGATGATCCATGTACACTTGTGATCGGAAAGATTGTCTGGTTTTTTTGTAAGTTTAGGAACCTATTCTTCAATGGGAGAATTTATTTTTTAATAAAAAAGTTCTCTCATTGAACAAGACACGCGGATACTCAGCACACGATATTCTATGAATATCCTTAAGATGTTCTCTGAATGTCTTTGAAGGATGTTCTTGGGAGAATTATGCTATTGGAGTAGGTTCCAAAACTTACAAAAAAACCAGACAGCCTTTCCGACCATGAATGTACAGGCTGACCGGTGGAAGGTGTGACTTCAGAAAACATCACGTTAGTAGAAAAACTGCTGAAATAAAGTAGACGTATTACCTGCCGGCAGGTCGAGGAACTTATCTGCAGATTAGTGCATCTGCAGCCAATTACATTCTATACGAACATCTGTAAGTGAAGAAGGTTTGTACCTTATGTGTACTACATTCGCTCAAAAAGAAGCTCAAAAAAATATAGAAAATACTGTGATGCAAAAAAATATTAAAATATTTTCAATCCGGATTATCTCAGAATGTACATAGCATCATCACTGGTAACGAAACGTTATACTATTATGGCGTATCAATAAAAATCAGAGAACAGAGACTGGGTCTTTAAAGACTCAATCAATGGAAATCCGAAAATCTTTCCCCACTGTTTGCTCGAAATGTACTGATAAGGTCTCAATGCGACCTCTTCCTATTCCTATTTAATTCTGAAAGCTCTTTCGAATGCAACAAAGCTAATCCCACTTCGTCCAATAAATGTTGTGTATTGCACAACTTTCGCAACACCCTCTATGTATTAACATATTTATAATGTAATTCGAATTAAATTTTATTTTTACGTTTATCAGAGATAGCTATGTGTCATAGATAGAAAAGAGAAAAAAACGATATTTATATCAGATATTTAAAATACTAAACATTGATTTTACAAATGGCGATTGCTACACACACACACACAGAATAGAATTGACATACGACTTACTCGTAAACTTTAATATATAAAATATGTTATCAGTAATACAGACTATACATATATTCATTCAATAAAATTTTAATATTTATAATATCATACTTAACAAACATAAGTTTTGTTTATTTTTTAGAAAATTTACATTTTGTAACTATACAATATTTAACTTAATTGTACATTTTTAAATATAAAATGTGTTATTTTTACATTACAATTGTTGTAAATATATATTATTGAATATTGTACATTAAATATTGTAAATGTACAATTATTAAATATAAATTTAACAAAATATTCAGACAATATAATAACAATTAACTAAATTTACACATTTGGATATATTTTACATTTATAAAACAAAAATTTTTATCAGAATCGTTTTATAATGAAAATACACAAAATTTTTACTGTGTAGAAACGCAAACAATTTTTCTCTCTCTCACGTGACAAAATGTCAAGCAAGTAGTTGTTCCGACATTTTAGTATAAAATTTGATTCAAGATATAGGAAGATCCGCTGTTAAAGTTAAGGTCGCTACTCGGGATCAAAAAGTGATCTTACGTAACGACAGTGTGCGATGAAAAAACTGACCGTGTGCGATATGTCGTGTGCGCGTGAGATCGTTCTATCACACTATTCTTTTCGTTTTTTTAACGCAACTTGGTGAATTCAATCTCGCAATTCCGAATCGCCGTAACGTCCCCGTAATTATTCGCACGTAACTGCAAATGTGTTCCAGATGTCGACAGATAACGTTCTCTAGACCGGTAAACAGATTTTCACCCACGAAAAGTTCGAATTATAATTTTGATAACACCCAGCAACCACAAAACGTACCGCCCGTGATAATCCCATTGGACGCCACGGATCCTAGAAGAAGGCACAAGGAGGATCCGGAATACGAGTGATACGGGAATTCAGACGAACACACGGACTACAAGACTGCTAAAGTGCATCTACGCTTTGTTGTTAGTCTCTTTACAACCATAGTGTTGCGCGGATTTCATTTTGAGTAACAGCAATTATAAGTAACGAATTCAATCTGAAGATTGATTGAAGATTTACCTACAAGGGAAAATAATATAAAATCGTTCTAGGATCTTTGCATTTAGGAGATGTAAATGGAAATTTGTGTTATTTAGGTTCCCTAGAACAATTCTATACTGAACTCAGAATTAGATAAAACACACTTCGGGATTTTCCCTTGTTAAATAGAATAATGAATAAATCCGCACTTTTATCTTACGCATGTGCACGCACGTGCACGCACGTTCTTATTGAAATTGACTTGAATATAATTGCATTTTGTTCCTTATTTGTTACTACTTTTAGTCAGGAGTAAGTACATACGTACGCTCGAGATGATTCATATAGAATATTATTCAAATAGGATATTATATAAAAACTTTTTTAAATTTAGTAAATTAAAATTTATTAAATAAAAGGAATATTATATATCGCGCGCATGCGCGATTAAACTTTCGATCGTTTATTTTCGATTATTTTAATGAAGGATATTTCTTCCCTCTTTCACTTTTATTCATAAATCTAAAGATTCTTACTTACATAGAAATCTTCCATTCGAATTTTTCTTTCAATAAAAATTTATTCAAGTAATGTCCAACTTTGTCAGTTACGGAGAACAATGTTTTTATTAATGTGACGCCTCGGAACTGGAACAGCTGATTATCTCACTCAATGTGTTGCGTTTTCAGATAGATTTCAAATAGATGGTTTTATCTCCGAAGCACTGAGCGACACGGACTGTTTCATTTTCTAAGTGTTATTTTGTTATATCATTGCGTATGTTTACTATTGAATAAAGACCCAGTGGTCGTTCAAGGACATAATCGCCCGTGAATATATTGTGGACAATACTATTTATATTATAAAATTACTATTCTTGCATTTAGTCTTTCGATGACATAAGAACTGTTTATTATCTGTTTTACATGTCACATAAGACGTTTGTTTGTATCTTGATTATGTCTATCACCATACTTTGTAAAATTATTGTAAAATTATTTGATCTAAGGTTTGAGAGAATTTGTCACAAAACGCTGAATACGATACGCTTTAATAATAAGATACGCATAACAATAAAGTTGTGATATTACATACTTTGAATTATTTGATCATATCGCACGTATTCGTGGTAATTATACATACATTTTAACTGAACTTAATTATAACTTAATTATAACTTAATACGTACATCCTAAAAATGAACTTATTCATACTAATTGTACATACATCTTAATTGGACTTATTCATATTATATATCATTAAGTTCCTCTTAATATTAAATACAAGTATTATATATATACTAATACTATGTTTGTGAACTGTGAGATGGATGCCCGTTCGCGCGAAGCTTTCTGTTTAATTTAACTTATATTTTGATAAAAAAAAGGTGATTTTCTTTTTAAAAATTTGCGCGCTTTACATATTGATATAACCATTTGTTTTTCATGTTGATATGACTGTTCTTGACATCTGACAGAATATCATTTCATATCATTTCACTTGTCAGGTTAGAATTATAATATCTTTTGTAATTGTGAAAAATTTGTGTCGGCGAGTTTTGAAAATGAATAAATTTATCGAGCAAAGAATTTGCATTAAATTTTGTCTAAAAAATGTAATTTCTTGTGCTGATGCATTAAAAATGTTAAGAAAATGTTACGACGATGAAGCTATGTAAAAAAAGTGTTAAAAAAAACCACAAAGCCGGTCAAAAATCAAAGTCATGTTAACTGTTTTCTTCGATCACCGTGGTGTTGTCTACAAAGAGTTCCTTCCAACTGGTCAAACAGTTAATAAAAAATATTATTTAAGCGTTATGCGTCATTTGCGTGAGTCCATGCGAAAAAAACGTCCGGATTTGTGACAAAACAATTTATGGTTTTTGCATCACGATAACGCACCATCGCACGCCGCAATAATTATTCACCAATTTTTCGCTAAAAATCAAATAAATATAGTGCTCGTTCCACAAGCACTATATTCACCAGATATGGCACCATGTGACTTCTTCCTGTTCCCTCGATTGAAGAAACCACTTCGTGGACACTGTTTTGAATCCATAAAAGCCATTCAAGAGAATTTGCTGGCCACTTTGAAGGAAATATCAGAAGTTGAGTATAAAAACTGTTTCAAAGACTGGAAAAAACGTTGGAATAAGTATATTGCAGTAGGAGGGGATTACTTTGAAGGAGACAAAATATATTTGGATAAATAAATAAATACTTTGTGTTTCATTTAAAAAGTCACTTTACTCTTTAATCACAGTAGTATAATTCCTCTTCGCGTTTCTCAATGTCTCGTAGATGCACGACAACTACTTTGTTTATTCTCAAGATTTCGCTATAACTTTCACCTATAGATTTCATAGACTTTGCAATGTGATCTATAAAAGAAAAGGAAAAAATTATACTTTACTATAAGAACATATCTCTCTCAACATGCATATATTATATTTCACTCTAACTTGTTGCAATTAAATTGTCCATAATTTTTGGAGTAAGTTTATGAACTCCTCATCTTGTCCAATGTAAGAATTCGTTTTCTAATGGAAGAATGCTTTTGTTAGATAAGGATGAATTCACAAACATACCAACCAAAAATTATAGACAACCTTTTAGTTCCTGTCTGTACACCAGGGAGTCTGTTGTATACTAACAAGCTTGGTAAAAATTATAAAAGCGAACGAATTTATTAGAATATTTACAATTTTATTGGTTAACACTTAGTAAATTTGTTCACTTTTGCAATTTTCACCACGTTATATTAATACACAATCTACTTCCAGTTCAAGAAATTTTTTGAAAAAGAACAGACTAGGCTGCATTCCAATATTTATTACCAACGTTGAAAAGTTATTGTTTATGTCATGTATATTATAAATTTCCAATAATTTTATTAGCACAATAATCAGTAATTTTGAAACACACAATCCTAACAGAACATTGACATAATTTAAAAAAAATGTTTTATAACACACCTTTTACACTAGTGCCGATAGTTCAGCTAAAAATAACAAATCTAACATTAAAATACTTCTGTTCTTTACTGACAGAAACTGTTCTAACCTAACCTAACCTGACAATTGGCGGCAAAACCGATCAATAGACGCGTTCAGTTGAAAAAACAGTAAGCAATCAACGATTATTGTTCTTACTGTTAGATTATTGTTCTTACTGTTAGATCCCTAAATCTAGAGCAATTACATTGAGTTGCTTAACTATTGTGCAACTGTTAAATCTGCTGAATGTAGTTAATGGATGCATCCGATTGGCATATACCTTTAGATTTAAAAATATACACCAATCAGAAGAGCGCTCAGCTGTAGTAGTACTGGATATATCCAACGGGTGCGTTCAGCAAACTGAACAATTGCACAACAGATGAGCAATTCGTCAATGTAATTGGTTTAGATTTAGGGATCTAACAGTAAGAACCAATAATCGCTGATTGCTTACTGAGCGCTTTTTCCGTTGAACGCGCCCAATCTCTAGATCTGTTTTCTATTGCTGAATTGGCTGCACCAGTTCTCTCTCATCTTTCTTCCAAGTTTTATTTGTATATTTATCTCTTTTCAAGTTTCGAAAGTGTACAGCAATAGAAAACAGACCCTCTATTTCTATCAGTATATTCTATATACAGTAACACAACCTACCTATGGAAGAAGCAATGTCCATGATCGTTGATTCCTTCGTAGGTTTGAATCGTTTAACCCGTTGTTCTATATCATCGTGAAATTGTACGTTGTCATTCTTCGCTGAATTCTCATCAATTTGCGACATTATGCGTTCCGTATGATCGTGATGTTCGACCATGTTGTACTACGCGGTTGATCAAATGTATGCTTGTATCGATGTTAATACACATATCAATAGAAATAATAAACAATGAGATAGAACGAAGACACTTGTAGTTTGACAATATTATTTATTAAAGAATACATTTGAATTTAATACATTCACAATTCATAAAACGACAAATAGTTGCGCTTTTAATGTGGCAGTGATTGTACTTGATTACGCGCGAAAGTTCAAATCTGTAATCTTTACATAAATGAGGAAAAGTGGTAAAATTTACAAGATTTTGCTTAAACAAAATTTGTTTGAGCAAATATTTCACCGAACAAATGCAATATATTTGTTTGAGTGAGTATGACCACTGATTTTGTTAATGGTATTGCACAATTATAATATATTTGTTTGAATAAATATATGATCGCTGATTTTGTTAATTTAACCGCTTTCCCAATATATGTATATTTAAAATTTATAAGAGAATCATTAGCATTTGTTGAAATTATATGTTACAACATAATTATTGCAAATTTGTCAGAATGATAATAAAACACTTCAATATCAATATGATTAAACCTCGACATATTCCCACACAGCAGAAATACATTATAGGGATATCCTAAAGATATCGTGACATCTTTAGGGCATCTCTATGATATATTTTAGATATTTCTACTACGTGGGTTGTTATCTATTTCATTTTTATTTTATTCAGTCGCAACTAGCTCGTCATACAATTTTCGTTCATTTCTACCTCTTCATATACGATCCTGTGAATTCGATAATTATTGTACAAGAATTTCCGTATAAAATTTTCCTTGTACATGTCATCTTTGTGTTCAAATATTAATTTGTTTCCGACGTAATGCACGGTGGGCAAATTTGCGTTTGGATTTTTCTGCGTCATTGTGGCCTCGAAATCTTTCAAAAAATCGTTGCGATCTTTCGTGTAGTTTAAAGACTTCAAATAACCGCCGAAGTTGTTCACGTTAGGTATCAGTTTGTTACTAATCTTGATTATCTCTTCTAGAGTGGGTAGTTTCCTTTGCGATTGTATCTCCATGGTGTTGTTGGGTTTTTTACATCTTCTAGTTAAAGGAACATTTTTCAACATACGAAAAACTTCCGGATGTTCACTAACACTACAACGCGAATATGCAATTTGCAATTTGCAAGTATGTACCCAGTGGTTGACTTTCAACGATGTCCAATGATACGACCACGGATCTATGATTCAATAGATAGTATTTTATCAATTATACGAAAAAAATTCAGTTCCCTAAATGTTTCAATAAATTCTAAGATATTTTATAACTAAAACTGAATTAAAATAGATACACATATAGGTCCTGCCTTCTTAAAAAAATCGAAATATTTTTATAGTTATCGTTTTTTGTTGGAGTTATCGACAAGATGTCAAAGTTTACTTGAGAACTTATTTAAAAGAATTGAATTAAAATAAATTAGACTTAAGAATTGAAGGTATTAACATGTACACAAATGTAAATAGTAAAATATAAGCAGCAAGCAGAATTGACCGATCACAGTTGACTATACTCATTATACTTATGGGAACTACCGGGACTATACTCATGGGAATAATCGAATACGATTAATCAATTTGCTCACTGCTTAAGATAGACGGAAAAAGGAAAATATATTTATATTTTTATATTTTTAACCTATAATTAATTCTTTGAATGTTAGCCGATTTTTTAAAGAATTTTTCAAGCTAAAATTATCAACAAAAATGTCTTTAAAAAGCATTTTTCTGTAAACTTCCAGTTTTGCAGAAATTAAGAATATACTTTCTTTTTTCCGTTTAGAAATTTTTACAAAAGATTATTAGATCCACCATGAAAAAGAAAGATTTCACGGAAACGACTGCTGTTGTTATTTTGTTTTTCGTTTCGTTCACATTTATATATATATATATATATATATATATATATATATATATATATATATATAATGTAAACTCTCATACCAAATTTAATAATAAAATTAAAAAAAAACAGAAGGTTACAGGATTGTGAGTTTGAACATTCCACGCACGCGGCAAAGATGTTTTACTCCTTTAAGTTTTACTATTTATGTTTTTGTCGCTTCAACGGATGACACTTTAAAAATGTAAACTGCAATAAATACTTAAGCAGTAAAGGAATTAATCACACTTGAGAATTATTGAGAAGTAAGTAATTGTGTTAAAAATTTCGAATTTGATTAATCTATTCGTTTGCTGCTTACATTTTTTTGCGTTCCATCGATCTTACCTTCCTGCAGGATTCTTCGTGTAAATCTGACTTGTCCGTTCGCCTCCATGTATTTAATCGGGTCTGTTTGTGCGCGAACAGTCCGGTCTCCTTGACCGCACTCTCTCTTGATAGGTTTGACAGTTGATGCCATTTCCTCTTCCAATTTTGACTCATTAATGTTCTGTTGGATCTCTTCGTTGTAGACCGACGTAATCTCTCGCTCGAGATCATTCAGCGGATCCTTTTCTTTATACATCTCGCGATCATCCGCCTCAACATTCGTACTGTTACTCTCTCGCACTGTATAATCGATAATTTTGACTTTATCGAGATATTTTACGGCGTTCTTATACAGTCTCCTCGTTCGATTCACCTCTCGCTTACTTGTGTCGGTTTTAAGCTTTTTCTTCTCAGCGATCTGATCCAACGTTTTTTGTTTACTATGCAAAAAACTCAGACATCTTTATTGAAAGTATAAAAAATATTGAAAGGGAGGATATTTATATATATAAAATATAATCCAGTAAACACTAAGTAACAGTAACATATTTTTAAAATTTCTTGGAGTGAAAATCTCTCGCAAAATAGAGTAAAAATCGAGTCACTCAAATTAGAGTGACTTCTCATTCTCTCTCTCTCTCTCTCTCTCTCTCTCTCTCTCTCTCTCTCTCTCTCTCTCTCT